AGTTGTAAGGCTCTGTTCCATTGACAGTTTCCTCAACCCTATTTGCCTGAAGATAGCTTGTTTCTCCATTACAGGTCACCTCGCTGAGTTGGACTTCCTTCTCTTTGCTCCTGGCCGTGTTTCCACTGATGCCCGTGGTCGGACAACAGCCAAATCTCTCTCTCGTGTACGAGTAGTCTTCAACTTTTCATTTTTACCTTTAAGTTTAGTTGTTTTTCTTAACATTCTGAGGCACAAGCTTAATTTTGTTCACAAATTTAAAATCACTTGAAGCAATGAGAAAATAACATAGTAATATCAAGCCACTGATTGTGAACGATCATTTACCCTCCTGGTTCTTGACCTCTGGCCCGAGCTAGTCTGAGTGGCATTAATGACACCTCAAGGTGTGTCCTCATAGACACTGTAAAGGAAACTCTCACTGTCACGGAGTCCGTTCTGACTCATGGGGTCGCTATGAGTTCCACGAGTCTGTGACTATTTACCGAAGTGGAAAACCCACCCTGTCTCCCAAGGAGCAGCTGATGTTTTTGAACTGTAGACCCAAGTATGCCACCAGGGCTCTGCCAGTGACCCTCTGGGCAGAATCAAACGGCCCCCGTGGGTTTCTGAAGGAGCAGAAAGCTTCGTCTTTCTCCCCTGAAGCCCCTGTGAGTTGGAATTGAATGGATGAATGTGATTTTGGAGAGATACCTCCAGATGGGGACAAACGGCATTGTGCTAAACAATGATCAATTAAGATCCCCTCCTCTTTTGCTAGTCCCTTCACAGCACAAAAGGGCTTTCTTTTTTATGAAAACAAAGTTCTATTGTGATGAAAAAGACCAGAAGGCCATTGAAGCAATCCACATGTGTCTTTGAGCTTGGTCAAACTTAAAACATCTTAGAAAAAATGAAGGTTCCTCCTCTGTCCAGGAGGTAAAAAAATCCCCTTGGCGGGAAGCTCTGCTCTCATCCTGACAACGTTCCGGTTTGATCATGAACTCCAAACACTGCCCTTTATAATGACCTTGATTCTGGTTGTTGATGTTACCCCTTATTGCAACACAAATACATTTCCATTTATTGCCACTCAAATAAATTGGTAAAACCATCTATTCCCTTTTTAAAACGATTTCTTTTCTAGTTCCCAATCATGCTGTTATCGTTGTTATTTTCTCCCAAACTCGATGAAAACAATGAGTTGTTAGACATTTCAGCCTGAGCTCTCATGGTGAGAGATTAATTACAAGAACACTACCCACACTAATGTCTAAGAGTTGGTGGTAAGTTCATGAGATTGTGCAGCTTCTTCATAGTTGTCGGAGGAAAATATCATTATGGAAATGGACCTAGAATTATTCCACGGAGTCTGTTTATTAGAATGAAAAGTTTTGTATTTTATTCTTGAACACCTATCTGTTCTAAAGTGTGTTTCTATTATAATGTTTTTGTCAAAGCATTTTGTAGGTATTTCGAGTAAACTATAATTAGTGAATGAAACAAATTCAATTTTGCCCATTGGTTTTGTTCTGTGAATAATGTTCCTTTTTTACTGCTTATCTGATATCTGGTGAAAGATGGAACTTCCTCTTAAGGTTGTTGTGACAATGAATAGAGAAATTGTCCTGATATTTGCCGTACCTTACCTCATATATATGAGGAGCGCTGGTGGCCTGGAGGTTATGAGTTCGGCAGCAATCGCAAGGTCAGCAGTTTGAAACCACCAGTCTCTCTGAGAGAGAAAGAAGAGACTTTCTACTTGCATAAAGTGTTCCCGTCTTTGAAACTCACCAGGGTTGTTCTACCCTGTCTTGTAGGGTCACTATGAGTCAGAATCGACTTGATGGCAGTGAGTTGGTTTCTTGGTTATGAGGGGGTACGCCCCCCAAAAATGGAATTTTTTTTTCAAAGCTATGTATTTAAATTTTTTAACAATACAGTCTTCAAAGTATTCTCCGTGACACTTAATACATTTGCCAAATCTGCGATTCTGTTCTTGGAAACATTTTTCAAACTCATCTGTTTAGATGGCTGACAGCACCTCCCTCATTTTTTTCTTCACCTCTGTTATGTCATCAAATCACTGTCCTTTCATGTCCTCCTTCATTTATGGAAACAAAAAGAAGTTGCACAGAGTGAGGTCAGGTGAGTAAAGTAAAGTGTGTGGCAAGAGAGGCATGCTGTTTTTTGCCAAAAACTGGCACACTGAGATGGCTGTGTAAATAGGTGTATTGTGGTGGTGGCAAAACTAGTTCCCCGTGTACCACAAATCATGCCTTTTTTTTGCACCCTGTTATGCTGTTTTTTCAGAACCTCTAAATAGAAAGCTTGATTAATAGTCTGATCTGGTGGAATGAGCTTCAAATGCACTACAAGTTGATTTTTTCATCTTTTCAGGAGGTTGATGGATGTTCAGAATAAAGTTTGTCATCAATCAACATTTCACCTTTTTCAAAAAGAGAAAACCACTCTTACACTTCAGTTATTCCCATAGCGCTGTTCTTGTAAGCTGTGTTC